ACACTGCTGAGGGGAGCAGCGGGCGGTCAGGAGAGGTCTGCCACACCATGTGGTCACCTCCGGGGCAGGTGGGGATCGGGGCAGGTGGGGGTCGAACTCATGCGGAAGTGGCTTTAGCTTCTTAGTGCTTAGTGCTATGCTTTAACCCGCTGCGCCACCAAGGAGGGCCGCAAGTCCTTTTTTTATAAGTAAACTATAAGTTTTGAAAATTCAGCCATCTGGGATAAATGTGTTTTACTGGAAAAGTAGCCTTGTTCTCATAGTCTAAAAGGGCATTGTTATTAAAAATACTAAAATAAAAATTTAGGGTATGAGAACTGGCAAAGAAGTGTATTGAAAACTGGGGATATATATGTATATTTTATTAAAGAATGAAGAAATGAGATTTATCTCTTTATGTTAAATTAAATCACAACGAGAAAATGTTCATTGCTTTGAAAGGGTCTCCATAAGTTAAGGTCAGAACTTTTACATCATCCTTACCCAGTCTCACAAGGGTGATAATGGTGAATAAGGAATTCCATAAAAGCTGAGGTACTTCTTAAAGTCTTTATGATATTTAATTGTATAAAACCCTGCATCAATATGAAAATGTGACTTTAACAGTTAAAGTTGGAAGTATTTGCCAACTTACTGAATTTTCTTATTCTTCAGGTGGATTTCCCTCTGCAGTGAAGAAAAGTTGAACAATACTCTTACCTGTCCAATTTATTCCTTTGTTTTGAGTTTAAGATACAGATTACTTTGTTCTTACGAACCAGACTTAGTCTGTACCCCTTTAAAGTCATGTGGAAATATAAAATCACTGTCCCTTTGTAGTATAGAATATTTTGTGTCTTCGGCTTCTGAGGAAGCATGGGCTTTTCTTCAAATAATTATTTTGAAGATCCTCCAGACCTCTAAATTTTGTGGTGTCTCACAAGTACCCTTGAAGATCCTGTCAGGACTGTCCACTGAAGCTTACTGACCTGCCTGAATAAGTATGTCAGATCCTTGCAGTAATCTATAAATTTGAATTGGTTGGTTTCTCCCTGTAAACTGTGGACCATGAATATGCATTTACTTGAAAAAGGGATTTTTGTCAGCTTTGTTTTCAGTTGTTTGTTTTGGCACTCAGGGCTTTTGATTTGTTATTTGGTTTGTTTGTTTTTAAGTCAGAAAGAGGCAGTGTTAGCCTGTGCTATCTCACAGGCTACAGAAAAATTTGATTTTTCCAACCTTAAGTATTTCCAGGGCTGGCAATATGAGAGATAAAATACGCCATTAACCATTAACAATGTGGAGTCTAAGACTCAGTTCCTGTGATCTCAGCCAAAGCTTTCAAAGTCTTTAAACTTCGCTTTGGGATAATATCACTTTACTGATTTATATTTAACAGTTTTTAGCTAATTTATTGGAGACAAATTTTTTATATCAACCATGAATAGCCTTTCTTAATACAAACTATTTTGTATTCAGCCTTTCCTGAATACAAAAATGTAAATAGAGTCTCTGTAATCATATGCAAAGATAAGTTTGTAATGCATTAAGCTCTCCTCTTAACATGTAAAACAGAATTCTAAATAGTTAAATCTTAAATTCTGTAAGTTATATTTTCTTACAGATTAGTCTCAGTTGTTTTGCTAGTTTTGTGTTCTAATTCTGATGAAACAGGTTTTAACAAAAAACATCTGAGTCCTAGTTCTTTAAGATTTATGAAAATTGAGTAAATTATCTAGTAAAATTATGGTACAAGTGATTCTCTAATCATAGCGATACAATGATATTTCTCTAACATAAGTGTAAACAGTAGCCTACTCAAGGAGTGGTACTGTTAAAATGATGAATAATCCTAAGTAAATTGAAAAAGTCTCTTTGTGTAAGCAGAATTGAACTTTATTTCTATTCTAAAAGATTTCACTTTAACTAAAGTTGACATTTCTAGTGATTTAATAAATTTTGAACACAAAACTTTGTACAAGAGAGCATTGATTGCTTTTGTTTTATTTTGTACATTTTCTCCTGTGAAAGGAAAAAATGTTTTCTAGTTTCTCATCCTTATGTAAGTTCCTAAAATACATGTTGGGGATATTTGATATTTTTTTAAAGAACAAATGTCATCTTTGGATACTAACTTTTGCTTTGCTTTCCCCTCCTCATCTTGATGGGGTAAGGATATTTCTGTATTACTCTTTTGGTTTTTTTGTTTGTTTGTTTCATTGGTTGGTTGGTTGGTGTTCTGCTTAGAAGAACAGGGGCGTAGACAAGAGGTTCGAGGGATGAGAGGATTCACCAGAGACAGTGGGGGGGCAGAACAGATGGATTTACTGAAAAACATTGCTAAGGGGAGACAGGCCTCTCCTATGTGAGTTAGCAGCCTGGCTGGGGAACTGAATTAAGGCAGTAACAGTGATAATGCCGAGATTCTTAACCCCCAGACCACCAGAGAGGCCCCACTGTATTACTTTTTTCCCCTTACCCTTGGATTGTACATAACCTTAGCAAAAAAAGAGAAAAGCCTCTCTTTCTGCCTAATACTTTCCATACATCACCACCTTACTGACACCTCAGACCTAATACTTGTTTTGTCTCCCCAAAGACAATTTTAACAAAATGACAGACCAGACCAAAAGTTTTTTAACCTATTGAGACAGAGTCCAATATGACATTAACAATTAAAACAATTTAAAAACAAAGGTAGATGGCCCTCCCTGGTGGCGCAGTGGGTTGAAGCACAGCACTGAGAAGCTAAGGCCACTTCCGCATGGGTTCGATTCCCGCCTGCCCCAGAGGTGACCGCGTGGCGTGGCAGACCTCTCCTGGCCCGCCCACTGCTCCCCTCAGCAATGTACTTCGTCCATCTGCCTGTTCTGCTCCCCGCTCTGTCTCTGGTGAAGCCTCTCACCCTCCGCATCTCTGGCCTATACCCCAGTTCTGTGTGA